AACTTAATTTATTGTTATATATATATACAAATAATTGTAAGGTAGAGAGTAAGTGTAAAATCAAGATGTTCACATACTTTTACCATTATTAAATTAAAAAATAATACATAAATAAGATACCCTTTTCTGTAAGATCAAACCTGAACAAAAAATTGGATGATGAAAAATATTACATTTTTCTACTGTAGGCCAGTAAGCTGTTATGTTATTAAAAATCATTCTGCATGTAACATTTGGCATGTATAGAATAGGTGTAGCTGATTGCTGATGTAAATTATCAATATAACATTAAGAAATTTTAATAATACAATGTGAGAATAAATTATTTAGGGTGACTAGACACTTTGTTGTCCTGACAATAGTTGTCAGGACACTTAAATGTCCTGAATTACTTATTTTTATATTTTGAGCAATTTTGTTTGACAATTTGAGTGACTGTGTGTCTTTATGAAATCAGCTGTGACAACACCTATAACAATCACTAACTATAACTTCAAACTGTTTTATGAAAATTACTAAATTTATGAACAGCCAATGTCTATTTCTTGAATATGTTATTGATTGCACAATGAATTTTTGCCTTAAGAGTTTCTAATGTTTATGGATGATCTTCATACATTACATTCTTTGTCCACAAGATATTGAAACTCTTACAACAAAACTCACCATGCAATCAACACACCCAAGGATATGTTGCACAACTGTGTGCATGACATACTTTGAAGATGTGAAGAGTATTTGTGCAAGAATGAGAATCACTTGCATCATTTTCATGATGCATCTTCAAAACATAAATGGAAATTTTGTAAAAGAAAAATTATTTTAAAATATTCAAAAAATAACAACAGTCTATTTATAATTGTCCATTTTTCTGCCAGACCCTATATACCATGTAATGAGATTTTTAATAAATTAAAAAATTGAAATATAATAGTTTTTTTGATAACATTTAAATTATTAATTTGTTTCATTTTCAAATGTATTATATTACACTTCAATTTTTATAATTAAAACCCAGTAACAAAAAATGCATTATCTTGTCATCTAATATTTAAATTAAGATATTTAAAACTTTTGGTTTTTCTAATAAGTTATTATATATATATTCACATAAATTTGAAAAGTTTAACTATTCATTCATATGCCTTTGTGTCCTTATTACCCAATTTATTATATAAATGTCTATTGGGACATATCATATTAGGACTTATTATACTGGTGTCCAGGTTCTGAGAAATGAGGAAACTTATTCAGAAAAAACAATATTTATTGTTCACTTATTTTGCAAGTAAAACAGGTGAACATTAATGATTGTTTTTCTGAATAAGTTTCCTCAATTCTCAGAACCTGGACACCAGTATACTGTAATAAATCCTACTAATATATGATATGTCCCAGTAGACATTTATATAATAAATTTAACTATTCACTTTATGTTAAATGTTTCTCTTTTTAATATATGATATTATATTGGATCATACTTAATGATCTGATACCATGATTGAACTATTGTTTCATTTTTATCAAAGTCTGAATTAAAAGCAGATACTCAGACAACTTATTGATTTATGAAAACTTCTTGTGTTTTAATAATTAACAATTACCAAAATAATTATCTTCATGGATGTGTGTTTTAAACTTTGATTTCATGAATATGTTATAATTTTTTATACTTAAATTTGGAGTCTAATAAAATATAAAAAATTTGAAACAATTCAAAATAAATTTATACAATTTTTACTCTGGACTATAATATAGCTGGTTACACTCTTAGAATTGAACTTAATAGATTCAGATTAACTCCCTTCTTTATTAAAAGATATATATTAATTTTCTATATAAGATTAGGGACGACGACAACTTACCAACTAAATTGTTATATTTGCTATATAAAAAATTTTGTCAAAATCCTCAAAAAAGTTCTTCCATTAGTCAAATGAGAAATATTGTCAATGAATACAGAGTTTATTTAACTCCATTATTAGAAAATTCAGAAATTAGCAAATTTATAAGAAAACAACTAATACAAAATACATTGGAAATCACTTTGGCTCAAGACATTGAAGAAATCCATATGAGAAGAGAACCTAAATGGTATAATATTATATTAGATTACCACTTTAATAATAATTATATGCTAACTAATATGTCATTTACAGTAAAGAAATTTTTTATTCAACTGAGATTAAATAGCAAAATGATTATAGTTAATAATAAAATTTACGAATTTTCAAAAATTATGAACTAAGGAACAAAACAAATTTATATTAACTAAATTTCCTTAAAGATGAGAATCAAATGTATTGTTTGTTTCATGAAGTAAATACTAATGATTTACAAATTATACAACTATGCAAAAATCTTTTGTAATCAATCTCGTTAAAGTCAAAAATATTTGAACTTAACCAATTAATGAATGCTATAAAATGAATAGATGATACCAAATGATATTAAGAATGTTATGATTAATGTGAAAATAATGTAACAACACCCTGTAATAACAGGCTATGGCCTAATATAACTAAAAAATTTATTATTATTATTATTATATTTAAATTAAAAATAATTTTGATACAGTTTATGAGAATTCAGTGGTGTGCAGTGACATTTTATGATAGGGAAGCTGTGCCAACCCTGGACAGAATCATTGGAAGCGTTATATATTTTGGTGTGTAGCATCCATGAACTAAACCGTGTGAGGTTGGTGCTCTGTAATGCACATATGTATAATCTGGCTGCTTTACATAATTCAAATATTTTTGCTGTGGAAGCTGTCCCATATTTGACAATACAGCACTTCCATTGGGAATATGCATATATGAATTTATATTTATATATAAAATAGCAATTTCATTATTGTTTTTCACATGTAGTATAGAAATTTGTAATAAGATACATAGTGCAGTTATAATAAAATATGAATTTTAATTAATTTAAAGTATATTAAAATATGAAAATAATCGCACAATATGTATTTATATTTTAGAAAATACAAGGGAAGTGGTGCTTCCACAGCTTCCATGAATGGCATACCACTGTGAGAATTTGTTATATACAGTACAAATAAACAAACTCTCATTCAATCAAGTAATAAACAGAATTTTCTAACTTAATTTATTGTTATGAAATATTTACTTATAATCAATGCATGGGCACCACACAGTAATTAATCAAAAGCATTTATATTTAAATTATTACCATTGTTGTACAAAGTCACAAAATTCTGGAGAAAAACCACTATCAGAAGGTAAACGTGGAGGATCTTCTTGAAGTACTTTACTCAAAACCTCAAAATCTGTTTTACAGTCTTGATATGGAAATTTTCCAGTAGCTAACTCCACCTATAAGATATTTCTTTTTAATAAAGCCTTAAATAATTTAACACTATATAACATACTATATGTATACTGTGCACATATATACACTTCAAATTTAAACATATACCATGTAGAATACTATATTTCAACAAATCTGAGCTTTAGTTTAAATTGGATTTTAGACATATGAAATATAATATTCTTTGTATTTGGCTGCTTTACCATAGAAAACAACATTTGTAATAGAATTAACAGTTGCTCACATTTACAAAAATTTTAATTATTTAATATAAACTTTAAAAGTAAAATATACTTTTACTATATTAACATAACAAAAGAAATCTTTTATACTATTATAACCTTTTAAGAAAAATAATTTAATGAAACCACCAGGTTATTTCATTAAAAATGAAATTTTCTTTAAATCAAAAATGTATTTATAATTTACACAATGTAGAGTGGATAGCCTTGTTTCAGGGGACCTTTGTGAAATGGTGGTGCGACAGTATTTATTATTAATTGTCCACATTTAGTTCAAATTATTTTAACTTAGAAATAGCAAGACATTGGGCAGGTTTCTAAAGTCAATTATTATGCCACTTTTAAATGCAAATTAAGACAATGTTAATGGATTTTCTTATAAAATAAAAATTATTAATTTAAATAATTATTGTTTTAACTTGTTGCTATTTTAAGGAACAACAATACTGTTTTATTTAATTTGCAAAAAATATAGACAAAAAGATTTAGGTTAAGTGGCAAATAATATTGCAATAAAATGTTTATAATATGATTTTTCTGCAGAAATTTAATTATAGGTTCAAGGTGTTGTGAGATAGCAAAGGTTGAAAAACATTGATGAACTCTTGTGCAATGATTTTTTTCGATAAAACATGTTTGTGATTCAGTAGCCATACTTGGGCCAGTACTGTATATTGCCACTGGTAACTTAAAAAGACTGCAATAACTTTTTTGAACATGAGTTTTGTCAATCCAGGCACCACAATTAGTACAGTAGAGCCTTGAAAATGCGGACTAATGTGGACTGAAGGGTGGCCAAGTTTGTGAAAATGCCGGGTTATCGAGAATGGGGTTAAAAAAGGATAAGTATGCGTGTTTCTTCAGAAAATATTGTACTGTACTTGTATGTATTGATTACTTTAGAATACAACAGAGAATAAACTGCCCAAATACCCTTAAACAAAGGAAAAGTACGACCTTTATGAAGGCATAGAGCCTTCACTACATGAAAATGAAAATTAANTAAAAAAAAAAACAAAATCAAAAATAATTTTTAAATTTAACAATCCAACTAAAAAAAATGCTGCTGTCAGTTGCAGCTGATCATAAATATTTCACATTTTGTGGTCTTTATATTTACATAAAACTAATTTTTTTTGTTTTTGTTTTAAATATATTATAATAGTTCATATATGATTTTAAAATGAAGTTAATTTTATTTGTAGAGATCAGAATTTTCAAGGCAGCAATATAGAAATTCATGATCAATACATATAAGTTAATTAAATTAACTTCTATAACCTAAACATAACTTTTAGTAGAATATCGGAGAAATAACTTCCCTCTTCGGCTCTGATGGTCTCTTCGATAATTAATGAATTCCTCCAACAAGTTGATAAATCATTATATAGTTTAACATTTCTACAAACACAATGTTTATATTTCGAGCAATGTCAGAAATGCCTAAAGTGCCTCGATGGTCTCGGCGTTTGAGTTGAAGCCATGACGACGGCAAACCATGCTGCTACGTCGACATCGAGTGTTTCGTATTTCTTAATAAATGGAGTTTCCTGCAATAAATTAAATTTTAAATAAAAATCTAAAAATAAAACTTAACTAAAATTATTGTAAAACTTTGTGAATTAGTTTTTGATATTTGTCTATATGGATCATGACACAATGTTCATTCAAGTATTGTCTGCAGTTCTGTAAGATAATAATATTGGAGAATGGAAGATTTTTATTTCAGAATCTTGGGAGTATTGATATAATCTGGTGCAAAAATGTGGCTGGTTTAGAAAAAGCTTGTTAAAAAGACCTGGCAACATGACTTCTTGTCTCTTGTACAAAGTAATTGCACTGTCAGGTGAAATCTTGTAAGAAATTTCAATTTTCCCAGATTGAAAATAACATTATATAACAAAAATAATTATATAATAAACTCCTGTAAATGTTCATCAGATGGAGAATTATTTTTAAAAAAATTGAAGACAAAACTGCCTAAAAAGTTCCTTTTTCAGAAATTTTTGTAATTTTAATTGGATGTGTTTTGTGTTTTTAATTAAAAGGACTCTTTGTAATTTTCTGGCGACAAGCAGCCTACAAAGAAAGGTCAGTCGTCAAGAATGTGTTAGTCTTGGAACACAAAAAATAATAAATGGTGATCCTTTTTACGCAGTTTTGCCTTCAATTTTATTATATATAATAAACACTTTAATTAATACTGTATGTGTACAGTATCCCATATAGCAGATGTGGCCAAATTTTGTCAAAATAGAAGCCATACATCACCTCACAGAAATATGCAAAAGTCACATTGTCTCTTGGAATGGTTACATGTATCTATAATAAATACTAAGTATACAATAGACTAAGTATAAGTCAAATTTTAGTTGTTTATCTGCTTTATTTTTATAAACGAAAAAAGAAAGATTAAGAAGTGATTAAGAGTTTGATAGAAACATCTGATTTTAAATTTATTTGCTTTTCAAGTTTTGCAAGTAAAAATTAATTTAAAATGAATGAATCTGTATCTGTAAAAATAAAACAGAAAAACATCTAAAATTTGATCTCACTCATAAAAACTATGACCATTATGCTATCAATACATTATCACAAAGAAGATCAACCTCAAAAAATTTCACAAAGCAGTTTTAAATTTAAACTTGATAAATTATGAAAATATTGGAACGATTTCCTTCACAGTGAACATTACATAATAATTTGCAAATTGAGTATAATGTGCATTACATTATAGAAATCTGCAAATTTAATAGCTTCGTAACACTGAAGATGGAATTTTGTATTATAAATTTTATTAATTAGTACTTATAATACAAATATACAACTACAAAAGAATTCATTAAAAAATATATTTAACTAATATGAAAGAAAAAAACAAATTCATACCAGTAATTTTCTGTATTTAGGTCTTTTCCTATAATCTTTTGTTAAACTAGAAAGTAAATTGAACAAATTAGCAACATGGTTTTCAGTTAATATTATTATTATTTGCATATATTAAAATTTTAATTTATAAGATTAAACTAAATAAAGTCATGTTATTTACTATTTATAAATATAATAAATTATTAAATAGTAATTAAATCATAGAATTAAGATATATAAGTCATTTTAATCTATATATGCAAAATATAAAATAAAAAACTAACTCTTGTTTCCAGTAAAATCAACATAATAGGTAACTTTGTAGAATAGGTGTAGAAGTAGGCTGTTATTCTGTATCTTGATAAATTTATGATTAATAGTAAATATCTTAAACCAATTTACTTTTCTTACTTAACATAATTTAATTAGACCATATACAAAGTGATAGAGAATTATTTAAAATGTTCATTTAAAACATTCTTCAGGTGAATTCAAGTGAGAAAAACAAGAACTATTTTCAGTCCACATATTAAATAAATTAAAATCACTGCACAAAATGCTTAAATTTAGAAAAATTACTATAAGAACAAATAATATAAAAAAATTAAATTAAATTCGAAAGATACAAAATCCAAGAGTTGAGGAGCATATATACTGTATATATATATATATATATATACAAATAATTGTAAGGTAGAGAGTAAGTGTAAAATCAAGATGTTCACATACTTTTACCATTATTAAATTAAAAAATAATACATAAATAAGATACCCTTTTCTGTAAGATCAAACCTGAACAAAAAATTGGATGATGAAAAATATTACATTTTTCTACTGTAAAATC